TGTACTGTACTATACTATACTATACTATACTATACTATACTATACTATACTATACTATACTATACTATACTATATATGCTGTAATATTGGGAAAGATGGAAGGAAAGAGAAGAAGAGGACAACCAACTGCAGGATGGATGGGCTCAGTTATAGTGGCAATGAGTACACTGTTGAAAGACCAGGCTGGGGACAGATCATCAGGGAGAAAATCTATCTGTGTGGTTGCTAAGAATCAATATTGATTGGATGGCACACAATCAATATTACACTATATTACATTATATTTTCATTACCAATATTTGTAGGCCACCTACTCAAGCGACTCTTGCTTATTGACCATTTGCAAATCAGCATTATAAGAATGTTGCAGGATTAAACAAGGCCAAGAATCCCCCAGAACCACTCTTGTCCCTGACACACATGATAGGAACAGTTGTTCCCGTAACACTTCTTGCATTATTAGTGGTCGCAGCACTAATAAAAGTGACAGTACGTAGCATAATTCAAAACTGTTTTCACTGTTGCCTAATCTGAACATTAAAACAACTGAGGCTTAGGGCTTTCCTGCACTACTGAGTTATATTGCTCGTCTCCCATCCCTGAGAGAGAAGCAAAACGATTCTGGTGTGCAATTTGCCTCGTTGCCGATTCATTTCCTGCCTCAATTTTGCACATTCTGAGTCACTGCCAAATGGTGCTGCTGAGATTGTCTGAGGTAAAGTGACTGCTCTCCCTCTTTAGCACAACCCCGGCTGGGGAGAAAAACACCCACCAATCATGGCGCTATTGCAGGAACAGGAAGGGTGACTGCAAGATTCTTCCTATCTTCTCTAGATTCTTCCTGTGCCTCTCCCCCTACGCCCCATTCTACCGGAAGTCAAATAGTAACAAACAAAAAGTCATGAAGGGAGCTGAGCCACAAGCAGGACTCCACTTTGACTCAGGAGTTCTCTCCCCTTCTCTTCTTTACATAGGCAGTAAATGCCCAAAGAACCCTCCATGCTCTGTTGGGGGAAGCAATTCTCTACTGCACTCGTTCAGCCTTGTGATAAGAGTTGAAGCATTTTCAGTACTGCCAGCCAAGCAGCCTAGTGCTACTGCTAACTTTAAATTGGCCATAATTTAAATTTACTGGCTTCCAGTTGGTTCCAATGTTCCGTGGAGGATCCAAAATAATAACATCCTCTTCTCCTATATTGAGATCTATGGGCAGATCTGTGCTTAGGTCCAGGGATCATTTGCAGGCAGCTAGAGTAGGGTTGGCAGAAGAACACCAAGGAATTTCAGTGGCAGAGAAAAAAAGCTCTACGACTCAGAGAGTCCTATGGAGGCCACAGCAAAATGGCAGCAGGTCTGGATGACTGAAAGAGAGGGGCATGCCGACATCATCGTGAAACAGCCAATGAATGCCTCTCTGCCTCCACCCATTACTGCTCTTCTCCCTTCGTCTCTGATGTAATGGGTGGCAAAGTATTGCTAGACCTTGCAACCATCATTGGATGAAGGGCAAAAACAGTAACACTGATACAACTCAGGAACAATTTAAGCCTGTCTCACTCAGGGGCTGACAACAACTTTATGGGGTCACAGCAGAAATAAGATTTTGCCATGATTAGGTATAAGTGGAAAGTGGGGAAAGGCCTTAAATATTTAATTGTTACTATTATTATTTCACAATATTATATAACAACATTACAAATATGTTAATAATAAGTAATTTATATTGCTAATATTATACTTGATTCTTAGTCCTTAATTTATTAATATTACATAACAATTTATTATTATTTATTAATCATTTCAGCAGTTGCTGTCATCCGTGGAGAAGTGATTATGTCATGATGACGCAAGGAAGAGAAGCAGGATTTTTAGAGTAGTTTTTGGAGGGGAGATATATAAATAGAACAATCGGTTAAGCCTTTCCATTGCTCACACCTTTGTCCTATTTTTTGCCACAAATTGGCAGGAGATAATACCTCTATTTTTTTATGGTCTGTGGCTGGATTTTAGCAGTGGTTTGGGGAAACGTCTGTGACCGGCTAGCTGCAGACGGGCCACAGCTTTCCCATGATCTCAGACCTAGGGAAATGGATGGAGGCTACTCGATAGTGAAGGGGCTGGCATGCTGACTAGAGAGATACCCAAAAGTCTAACTCTTTGCAGAGATCTGGAATTTGGCAGCTCAAACTGGGTAGTCCTATTCTACAATAGGACTGAACATGCAGAATTGGGATGTAAGCCGGCCAAAATGAATTCCAAGTCCCATTTGAATTTACCAGGAAAGGTATCCACTTCTGAGGACACGTGCTGTCTCTATGAGGAGAAAGCTTTGAAGTAAATATATTTTATTAATGCTGAAATGGGAGTTATGAGAGCATTTCATTTATATGTTACATGTGACTTTTTATCATCTATAAATGCCAGTTGTTATTGTTAGTGTTGTGATCCTTCAAGTCAATACTGACTCTGGGCAGCTCCATGTAGGTTTCTTGGCAAGGTTTTTCAGAAGTGGTTTGCCATTGCCTGCTTCCTAGGGCTGAGACAGAGTGACTGGCCCAAGGTCACCCAGCTGGCTTCGTGCCTTCGTGGAACTAGAACTCAAGGCCTCCTGGTTTCTAGCCTGATGCCTTAAGCACTACACCAAACTGGCTCTCTGGATGTTGATTATACTTCTATTATACATTTTACTCACACTTTTCCAGAGAAAAGCTGTGTTAATGTAAGAAAAAGGAGAACAAATTAACCAATTCAGAGTTTGTTGCAGCCTCTTAGAGCCTGTCAATTATATCATGGCACGAAGCTTAGGGAACATACTGACAAACGCAAAGAGTATCCAAAGGAACAGCACCCAGCACGTAAAGTGTTTGGCCGCAATCTGTGTATTAATCTTGAAGTGCTTTTAAAACCATGTTAAGTACTTAAACAGTGAATTGCAGCAAAATGTAAGGGAATATTTACAGAACTCTTGGACCAGAGTCCCCAAAATGGTGGCCTGCAGACTATTTCCTTGGTGCTGCCACTTCACCTGTATTTTTACTTCTTTAAAAAATGATGATACAACAACAACAACAACAACAAGAGGTATTGTAGTTGGTACTTTGCCAAACAAAGCCCCAGTATCCAGCATCCTCTTTATGATAATCTGAGTGATGAATGAGTCCCACCAGCATTTTTTAGAAAATGAAAATGAGGAGCAATTGCCATCCAATGTTTTGGAAGTGTTCTCACTTGTCTGGGAGAGGTGACTGGAGAAAAATTAGTTGGGGAGCCAGAGAACATCTTATGAGATTTTGGAGGAGGGATAGAGGGGTTGGCAGGTAACTCTCTGGTAAAATGGTGCTTTGTAAGAGGTTATGCCTCGCGGCTGCCATTTGGTGAATGGGAACTCCCCTCAGCAGCCATTTTGGAATAGTGCCCACAAGCAATGCTCAACACTCCCAATGTGCCAATTAGCCCCCAAAGGCTGGGGAACCCTGCTCTAGAAGAGTGAATGCAATATTGTGCATTTAAAGAGAGGAACACTGATGGTGGATATATTTTTCTGAGAAACAGATCTTAGAAGCCAGATCCTTTTTGGAAGCCAAAGAACTTGAATTGATTAAATTTTCATCTGCAGCATCAGCTCTGAATTACTGAAATATTTACTGTAAAGGGGTGTCTGCATATAATTCAAAGTACCCATTTTGTTCAACATTTTAAAGCATGGATGGTTTAGGGTTGGTGCATGGGATAATATGCTACACTCAGCCATGTTCTGTAATAATTTCCTTACAACTAAAACACTAAAAAGCAGCTTTTATTATTTTTGTCTCTAGAAGCATTGTTTCTAGTCCTTCACATGCCAATGGGAAATCATTCACATTATATCTTGGCTTGCTGTTTTGTTTTGTTTTGACAAACATCTTAAGCTATTCACTCTGTGCATCCTGGTTAAACAATCTTGCAGCAGAGATATTCAAGTCGATCATTTACAAGAATTTGCATATTCCGGTGAGGAGCAAGCCATATTCTGAAAAACCTCTAGTCCTCCTGTAACAATCCTTGATCTTTTCATTCTGGTTCTTCTCATTCTGAGCTCATCAAAGGTTTGCTCTTTATCAGTCTCTAAGCCTTTATTCTTCTCCTTACAGCTTTGTGTTCCGCCCTTCTTCAGCTTTGCTTTCATGTTCTTCATTCCAGTCTGACTTGCTCTGATTCCAGAGCAGACCAAACTAACAAAAAATAATAATTAAGAACTACCTATATTCATATATGGTTTATATCTACTATCCCAATCATATTTTTACAGTGTGAGCTCTGAATATTCTGTCTGTACATCTAAAATGGCAATATAATATGTACCAATAAAACACTGAAGAGGCCTGATTCACTGAGACCAATGAAACAGAATGCTGAATAACTATAAACATTCCTTTCCCCTCCGCCCCCAATTAATCAATATACTGGTTTACAGAATTTCTTGCTAAGTTTTCTCTAAATACTGTGTAAATCTAATTACAAGAATATATGTATGAATATAGCTAAATTTACTGGAAAAGTAATAGACTGTAACATTTACAGTTCATCATTTTGGCTACACTTTAATTTGTATACGTTTTATAACAGACTGGACCCATAAGATCAGAAACTCAAATAGCTGATTATGGGATAATACTCTTATTATTAGAACTATGTTGCCTTTCAGTACTGTGTTAGAATAATTTCAGATTAATAAAAGGAGTGTATCAGTATCCTGATGTTATCAGTTATTAAGATTATGCACTAATTAGAAGTTTTTAATATCAACGAAACCCACACCTAAACAAATGTTAATATATTGGTCTAGTCTAGAAAGCACTAGCATGGATTTAAAAGTTAATTGTTAGGAAGCTACCCGTATAGTTCTACCCAACTCTGAAGATGTTTGAATGCTTTAAAAATAATATATGTATATAGGAATGAGTTTGGAAGCCCTACCTGGTGGTCCAGGTTCCCCAGGTGGCCCAGGTAATCCATCTTGTCCTGGAAGACCTGGCTTTCCATGAGTTTGAGCAGCTAGCATAGCAGCAGGCAATTTGAGCTGAGACACAAACTGAGTCATCCTCTCTTCATTCATTAAAAAAGCAACAAGGATGATAAAATAGTGTTAAATATCTTCGTAACACTTGGAAAAATGTTTATTATTATATATAGTATGTTAAAACTACAATGGCTTATAATCTTTCAAATTATAAGTAGTCAACTAAATTCTACAATAATCAAACATTTTGCAATATACAGATAGGTATGAACATCTTGTTAGAGGGCAAGCAGCAGCTTCCAGGGGTGATTCAGAGAAAATATAACAGTAGGAAGAAAGATGATCTTCTCCACCCAACGTTATGATTTTGTTCTACATTAGAGCTTGGTGGAGAGGAATTCCCATTTTATTATAGTCAGTCTAATAACTGATGCCCAAGTCACTTTTTAGGTGAGCACTGAACAGATAGCTGTTACACTCCTTACCATCCCCCATGACTCATGTAGGCACGCAGACATGGGCACATCCAGTATGTCAGACCATCTCTCTCTGCTTCCTAGCTGAAATATTTCATGATGGAAACCACAGACTGGTGCTTAAGGTCAGCAGGTCAACTGGAGGTGGGCCAATAGAAGTATTCATTTGGAAATCACCTGGTTCAGAAATAGTTATGCAACTTATTCTGAATAGGATAGTATTCCTCCTGGATTATCAGGTTCTCACTTTAGGGCTCCTGGATGAAGTACTACTCGTGGTTGTTCAATTGGCAGTGGAGGCTAAAAACATTTTTCTGTGATACTATGTTCCCTTAGAAGCCAGGGTGGCCTATCCATATACATGAGGTTTCCTAGAATGGCAAATTAAGCAGGATGCCAACTTTCAAGGGGAAAAAAAATCCCTCTGAATCTGTGCTTGGGGTTTGAGGGTGGAAGCACTGATTCCATGGTTTGCCTAGGACTGCCACCACATAATAGGAATGTGGGTCCACATGTTATGAGTGGATAATTAGTGTTAACGGATAATTTGCATTAGAGTTGGGCAGAGCAGAAGCCAAAAAGAAGCTAGAACAGACCTGGCAGTGGACCACCTATTTTTCTGTTTCTCTCTCAGCCTTCTCCTTTTCTGTCCTCTTCCTGGTCCCTCCATTTATCTTTTTCCACTTCTCCCTTTCTTCCCTGGCCTGTTTTCTGACTTTTTCCTGAGCTCTACATTTCAGTTTGCCTATATGTTACCTTTTTTATATGTTTAATTGCCATGGATGCAGGGCCAAGGAGAGAAGCTTTATTATTTTTTTACAGTTTTTAGCACTTTAAGTAGGCTATTGCTGGGTGGTGGTGGAGGGTCCTTGGTCTGAAACTACATTCTGGAAGCATGAAAGTAAATACATAGTACTATGCAACAAAGGAGTCATGTGCACCTCTCCCATAGCCCCATTTGGCTTTCCTTTTCTGCCTTGTCAATCATTTGACCTCCAAGCTTGTGCTGCTTTAACAAAATGATGGGGGGAAGCTGGAAGGGATATGAGAGGCTATGGCAATAGCCTAGCCTGGGCTGAAACTCATTCCTGTGTCAGGTATAGCTGGAGAAAACTGGACCCTGTCATTACCTATGGGGATTCTTGGCATGTGGGCACCGTGTGTGCAATAAACGGGGTTGCATTTTTATCACACCATAGTAACCATAACATTTGATACAGAATGTTGCATAGAGGATGTTTCTGTTAAATAGCATTGACTCTTCTTAGAAAGCTGTTACATGTCTTAGATATTATTTAATTCAAAGAACAAAAAGGAGACATTGTTTATGAAACATCTGCAAGTGCCTCAGGGCAGGATTTTTCATTTTTCAAAGATCATTCTGTGATCTTTGTCTAAGTTAGCAAAGGGAAAGAAAAAGCTGAGAAGTTTCAGATCACAACTGGTGATAGGCTAGTTAGCTCCTGGATGATATCGATTAAAGAACAGACCAGTACTGAAGATTCGGTGAGGAGGCTGACAATTTATGCCACTTTTCCTCCAGCTTCTTATGTTTGTGTGGCTCAGACACTGACACTGAATGCCATATCTATTTCTACGTAGTTCGAATTGCCTCTAGTTAGCATAATTTAAGATGGGGAGAGGAAAATCATATGTGGATCTTCTTTTACTTGATTTTACTGTTTCACTTGAGCCTTAGGTTCTTGCCTTGGAATTAAAATTTTGCACATCAAGAGCACACCAACTGATGTCATGCATCAGAGGTGCACAATATTTGGCATTCCAAGTTTAAAGCAGACCACCAAGGACTTAAAAATCTCCTTTTTTCAGCACTGCAAGAAAAAAAAAAGTTCAATTAACTTCTCCTTAGATACAATTCATCATATTTTGGAGGGTGCAGACATAAAGGTTTCATTGTTGTCTGCCCTTCTGACATGTCTTCTACTATCCTTTGTGATTCCAGTATTTTTAAAACAAGCAGATTGGTAGTTAAAAGTATTCTGAATGTCAAACATGTATTTGTGATTGCAGTACGTGACTTGGAAGGAACCTGCCTGCTTTAAGCATTTTAAATGTATTTATATAAGTGACTGAAGCTCAGTGAAATTGTTTCAAATGTTACATCCAATAGGTCCGTAAAGCATAATTGGAAGAAAACATTGACAATGGAAGTGTGAAATAAGTATTACATTTTCTCATACTCCACTTCCTCACCTTCAAAGACTCTAAGAACCTCCTGTCTGACATATTTTTTCATTTCCTCGAAAGAAACTGAATCAGCCTGAAGAAATAAAAAATAAAAGAGATAAGAATAGATGCTTTTGGCCACAAAATCATCAAAACAAATAAAATTGTCTTCCAGCTTCTGTTAAGAGCTCTGCAACAGTAAAAGTTATAAATAGGATTCAGTTTAATGAAAATATGCTATCATCATCATCATCATCATCATCATCATCATCACCACCTCCACCCGCCCCCCCCCACATAAGCATTATTACCGTTTATAAATACTTATTTCTCACTGATTCCTCCAGAGTTTTATTTTGAACCTTCAAGAAAAGAGATGGCCAACTTCAAACCATAGACTGCATGCAGACCTGAAGGCCCAGAACCCTTTCCAAACACAATTTCTGAATATATAAATTGGATTTATTTGTTTACCCCTCTGATGTGGAAAGCACATAAAAACTGAGCTTTAACATAGGTTTAGAATAGAAACCCATTTTGCCATCTTTGCTCATGTTATGTCTTCCCATTAAGTAATGCCATTTTCCCCACTATAGCCTTACCCTCTCAAAAATGTTTAGGTGCAGCTCACGGACAACAAAGATTGTCCACTCTCTGCCCTTAACCTTACCGGTAATCCTGGAACTCCTGGGGAACCTGGAGAGCCCTTTACACCTGGAGATCCTGGATTGCCTTTTTGCCCTGCAGATCCAATAGGTCCTACAGGTCCTTGGTCTCCGGGTAGGCCAGGCCTTCCTCTTTCACCTTGTGGGCCCCTGTCTCCTGGTATACCTTGATCACCCTGTTGAAACCAAAAAAGAATGCTGTACCACATTGCTTTGTCTGAGCTTTCATTATCCTAGATCTCTTGAAAATGAAAAAGTTAAAGCAAGTAGGGTGGTGCAGTCCTTTGGATGTCAAAGCAAAAAGCATGCGGTAGAGCTCACAAGGGTACTCACAAAGCACCTGCCTGCACCTTTTTAAACACATTTTTTTCTTAGGAATGCACTGGGTAGCCACACAATTCTAGGAAAAGAAGTAGCCGCAGGTGCTATGTGGGCAAGTGCTTAACAGTCCTACTGAAGAATATATCTTTATACTATAGAACAACATGTAAAAGAATCACACAGAGAAGAGCAAGAAAACTGGAATGCCTTAACTGAAAACAAAACCACAAGAAAATCCCATAGTTTCTGTTTTCGTAACAGCTGTGATGTTTTAGCACTGCAAAAGAAAGAAAATATAAGAACACAGAAGGCTGAAGTGCATGACGCAAAGAGGGTGAGATCCACATGTAGTGCTATTCTTCCAACTACAGTTTTTTTTTAAATACAGCAAAAGCTTAAAGCAGATCCTTCTGATCCGTTTTATCTTCTGAATTTTGGATAGAATATGATGGGGAATACAGCAGAAAAAAACATTCTGCTTTCCTCTTTTACTCAGACGCCTCTCTTGGCAAAGCTCCTGATGTCCTTAGTCCATTAATAAAATGGAAAAACATGGGGTAGATGCTACAATCATTAAATGGTTTCATAACTGGCTGCATGACTTTATCCAGAGAGTACTAATAAATGGCTTCACTTCGTCCTGGACTGAATGGAGTGCCAGAGGGCTCTACCATTTGTACCCCTTGGTGTTCAGTGTTTTTTATCAATGACTGGATGAATGAATAGAGGAGATAAGAATCAAATGTACAGATTACATAAAACTAGGAGGAGTAGCTCTTCTTTCAAAGAGAAAGAGAAGATTCAAGATCTAGATAGTCTTGAACAGGAAGCTGAAATAAACAGTATGAGATTTAATAGGAACAAATGTGGGAACAAATATATGAGGGGGGAGATCTGGCTTGACAGTAATAAATGTGAAAAGGATATGGATTTTCTAATAGATCGCAAGTTGTGTTGCAGCTGCTAAACATCAGATATTATTTGGGGATGCATTAATAGGAATATCGAGTTCAGATCATGGGAAGTAATTGTCTCACTCTACTTTGCCTTGGTCAGACTCAACTTAGAATACTGCATCCAGTTCAGGCCACTTCAGTCACAAACTTGGAGTGAATTCATTGAGACTTCTAAATAACCTGCAGTTTTAATTTGTTTGATTTCTAATGCATTAATATTTGCTACAAGCTATAATACTTCAGTTTATATGCATTTATACCTTGCAAGTATGCATGTAAGTTACAAGTAAGCTAGAAAAATATTATGATAATTGGAAAAGTAACTTACACGTTCTCCTTTGGGGCCTCTATCACCAGGTTTACCCATTAAACCCTACAAAAAATGGAAGGCATTGCTAAAATATATATTCTTGTTGACAAAGGCCAAAAGCAGAATTATATTCTGTATACATAAACAGTTTTCCTACCTGAGGACCAGGCAATCCATCTTTCCCATTTAAGCCCTAGGGGGAAAAAAAAGATTCTAATATTACCATAATACCTGACTTTTGCTATTTATATCTTAAGATAGGACAGAACATAAGCATAAAGCCTTCAGAAAAATATATGCAAAACTCAACTGACAAAGTGATTAGAGACAATGTATTGTCGAAGGCTTTCATGGCCAGAACACGATGGCTGGTACGGGTCTTCTGGGCTGGGCACAGAGAGAACTGCTCCTGTCTGTGCTCCTGCCCTCTGAGGATGCCGGTCACAGATGCTGACGAAATGTTAGGAAACAAAACTTCCAGAACACGGCCACACAGCCGGAAGACCCGCACCAGCCATGATTAGAGACAGTTGGCAGTTGCTCCAAGTCTTACTCAGGCTCCAAAGGGCTCAAGGCCTTTTTCAGCCACATAACACAAAGGGGTTCTACCTGGCTGCTGGCCTCAGAGTAGCATTCGATGCCTGTAAATTATCAGTAAACATAACTTCTAAAATTGTTGTTGTTGTTGTTTAGTCGTTAATAATGTAATACAATTACTCATTACTACATACCAGGTAGGTCAGCATATGTACATTTATTATTAGGAGGTCAGTTTCCTTTATAGTCATGTTTAACTGCTAGAGGGGTAAACACAGCTTTATTGCTTCCCTTCCCGAATCACTGGAAAATCATAGCATTGTTATCTAATGGTTTGCAACCAAATTTTAGCTGCTTCATTTTGGGGACCTGCAGAAGAGGAGGGGGAAACAATAATTTTGGTCGAGCAGCATTGCAGGAATTTAATAATAGTAATAATAACAACAACAACCCCCAGTGAGGTACTACCTTGATGTGGTTGTGGGGCTTATGTGCTCCGAGAAGGATGAGAGCTATGCCAGAGGTTCAACCACACTGGACAGGTCTCATCAGAGGAGCCAGACGAAGAGTGTCTCTCCCATAAACAACACAGTGAGACATAATTACAGAAACCTATACCAGATTGATTGTCACCCGGGTCAACAAGGACAGCACTATCTGTTCTAGTTCCTGGACATCTGGTGACAAGTGCGCTATAGGACTCAGGACTGTTGGCTGGGCAACCAGGGCCAGCAGCTGCAGGACTACTGGAAGAAAAGTTGTTTACCAGTTGCAAATATATGAAGACTGAAAACAAAGAAATAATGATCTGCTATTACAAATCGGGTCCAACAAGAAGAGGATATCTGAAAAGAATGCACCAGTTCTGGAAAGAGCAACATCCAGAATCAGAAATAACAGAACAGAGGCTATCGGATCGTCAGTTTATAATATGAAATAAACTATTCACAGAAGTAGGATTGGAAGAACTGCAAAGGTCTACCCAGGGTGAAGAAATTGAAGCCTTGCTAGCTCAGTCTTATAGAGGCAAACCAGGGGGAGTCAGCAGTAGAGGAAGCTAGCATAGCTACTGAATTGTTTTAATTCCCAAACCAGGCACTCTCTCCTCTGCCTTCTCCTCAGAAAGAACAAAGTCCTCTAACTAAAAAAACAAAAGAAACTGAAACAAAGAATAACTGAGCATCTAGAACAGCACAAAAAGAACAGAACAAGGTTGCCTACATTGAAGTTTGTTACAAACAGCTAGAACAAGTATTATAAGATGTCAATACTGTAATATCAAATATAAGCACCAACTCACTGCAAGAAACAAACCAACTAATGTACAGCACAGCTGCAGTTACAATTGAATACCTTGGATGCAAAATCAACAAACAAG